CGGCGTGGGAGACCATATCAAAGGCCTGTTTAAATCCAAGTATATGACATCACCCAAGTCTCCCACATCTAAGTGGTTTGTTACTTTATCATAAAAGGAGACGGTTGGTCAGACATGACCTGCCCGCACTGAAACCATGTTGGTTATCCTTCAGCATCATGCCTTCTGCCAGTCTCTCACAGTATCTGACCAGGCGGGTGACCACCGTTTGCATGCAGGAACACCGACGCAAAGTATTCATGAAAGAGTTCAGCTTTCTCCTGACTGTCTGTTATCAGCTGTTTTGTCCTGTTCTGCCAGGGCCCCACACTTCCCTTGGTCTTCCTCCTGCTCCCTGTATACCCAAAGAAGGACTTCTTGTTGTCTTTGATTTCAGTCGCCAACCTGATCTTAGTCGCTGTCCTTGCCTTCCTTATCCTCTCCCTACAAATACGGGCTATACTTGTGTATTCCTCCTTGGTGACCACCCCTTGTTTCCACTGTCCGTAAGCCTCCTTTTTCTTTTTTAAGCACTCCTTGACTCCTCTGGTAAGCCAAGGGGGTTTCCCGGCCCCTTTACCACCTTTCCTGCCTACAGGAATGGACCATTTCTGTGCTCTGAGGATCACTCCTTTGAGGAATGACCACCTTTCCTGAACTCCCTTCTCCTCCAGTCCCTCTTCCCATAGGGTGTCTCCCACTATTTTCCTAAGCTCATTGACGTCGGCTCGTTTTATATCCTCAAGCCACTGTACACGCATTGCCCATGTACCCCGGACATATTTCCCTGCTTTGAAGGTAGGGAAGCTGTGATGAAGTGATATAAAGGAGGAAAATGCAAAAATCAAACGTAGTACAGTGTGGTGAGATCCCACAAAGAGTCTGTTCTTGCTTGGCTGCTGTATTCTTTCCATTGTCATCTTAAAGTCCAGCTCCTTCCCCAGCTTCTGTATTTGAGTGTACTGCTTTAGCTGTGTTGAATGGAATTTAGATTGTACGCTGCTTAGAGAGACCGGGGTCTGTATTTGCCTGTGAAGGGCTCTGCACACACGGGCACTATAGTGACTGAATAACTTGTGAAGAATGACTGAGTACTGTTGTATTGTCCACTTTGTGCTGGCTAAGGACAAATTTGTGTAGGGGACTCTTAAGGATTGCGTGGGGAAAATAAACGCGAGCGATAGGATGAAGGTGGGAAACGGAAACATGGGCTGAAGGCAAGCAGAACTTTTAGTAAGAGACTGTGCCAATTTTCCGAGGGAGTGTAGGAAGCTCGGTCCCCCTAGCACATCAAAAATGATATGGATCAAAGCACTGAAGGGTACTTGGTAGGGAACAGACTTGCACTGCCACGTTCTTCCCCCTTCTGGTCGACGTGGGTGCTCAACCCCGGCCTATGGGCTAGACCCAGCCCCTGGACCCATGTCATCCAGCCTCAGGGGCTTCCCGTGGGTCCAAAATTTAGCAGCGGGGGAGTGGTGGCTGCTTCCCTGCTGCCAGATTTCTAGACCTACGGGGAGCCCTGTGGCCTGGAAAGTGTGACCTTGTGTACTCGATTGGGCACGTGGGGCTGGCACGGGGTGCCGTGGCTGGATCTGTCCATGCAGGGCTGGGATGGAACGCCATGGCCTGTTATGGCTCTCAGGGGTAACAAGTTGAGCACCGCTGGCCCAGTAGGTTTTTCTAACTGTGATTTCTGCATTGTAGGTTTGGAGTCTCTCAGACCTCAGAGAGTTCTTCAAAGAGTGATCTAGAGAACGGGGACCACGATGGCAGTGTGGACTCGGAGGAGGAGGAGGAAGCAGAAGAACAAACGTCACCTCCTGCAGTGAATGCCAACAAAAATAACGCTTCTGAGCAGAAGGACACAGACTCCTCTGAAGGTGAGGGCTTTGAGCGCCTTAATTTAACCCTCAAAACCGGCTTGGGTAGTATTTCCTAGAGAGAGGCCTCCTGGGGGTATGTAGAGCCTGTGAACCACTCTTCTGTCATGACTGCTGTCTCATGCAGCCTCTGTAGATGAAAAATGAATGTCCGTTCTGAATTTCAGTCTGCATGTTCCTGTCTTGCGTATTTGAGAGACTGGATCCTCCACATACAGGGGAACAAAAGGATTGCAATGTTACACTGAGGCTGCCAGACAGGATGCAGTAGAATCACAGACAACGAGGGCTGGAAGGGACCTCAGGAGGTCACATCTAGTCCATCCCCCTGCTCCAAGCAGGACCAGCTCCAACTACATCATCCCAGTCAGGGCCAGTCTTCAAAACCTCCAAGGATGGAGACTCCACCACCTCTCTGTGGGGAGTCTGTTCCAGCGTTTTACTACCAATTCTCGTGAGAGTTTTCCCTAATATCTAACCTCAACTTCCCTTGCTGCAACTGGAGCCCATTGCTCCTTGTCCTGTCACCTGCCCCCATTGGGAACAGCCCAGCTCCATCCTCTTTGCAACCCTCCTGCAGGGAGTTGAAGGCTGCTATCAATCCCCCTCGGTATTCTCTTCTCCATCCTAAATAAGCCCAGTTCTCTCAGAGTCTCCTCACAAGTCATGTGCCTCAGCCCCTGAGCCATTATGTGCTTTCTTAAAAAACAGTGCAAGAGGCAAGGATTTCTTCAGGTGGTGCCTTTTATTGGACTAACTGTGTTGTTGGGGCTTTCATCAGGTCTTGAAGAAGGTGCTGCACTCAAAGGCTTGTCTGTAACTTTATCCCAGCTACATAGTTGGTCCAATAAAAGATACCACCTGAAGAAATCTTTGCCTCTTGCATAATTTCCTGGGTGAGGAAATGATATTGGGTAAGCACTAACCAGTGATGTTTTGCTCCTCAAGGCTTTCTGAAGAGCACTGCTAAGCATCTTCAGGCACAATGTTATTACAGCTAGCTGCTGTGCTTCAGGTTCAACTTAGCTTGGTGTAAAGCCATTCTTGCAGCCTGGAGAAAGAGCAGGCAGGCAGCAAGTTTCGCCAGAGCAATGTAGACAGGTGACCCTATGGGAGCGGTTGAGGCAGGAAGTGCAAATGACTGTGCTCTTAGCACTTTCAGTTGTGCAGATTTAAATAAAGCAAGGCAAGCTTCTTTCTCCAAAACCACGTGTTCTTTGGTGTTACTTGTAACTAGAGTAGGTACAAAAGTTGTCTTCGAGATGCTATCCCTACACAACAACTGAGAGGCATCAAGCAGATGTACCCCCTGTTGATAGCCTTTGTTACCCAGATTACAGGGGCAGTGTAGCCAGCAAATAAATAAGGCAAGAGACTGGTCTATAGCCTGAACTCTTTATTATGTATTTTTATTATTTGTGCCCCAAGTAGAAAAATAAACAGCTATCTCAGTGCCTTCTGATTTTCGCTTTACGGCTGAGTAGAGACATGTGCCCAGGTCCTGCTGGGCCAGGGTTGATGCAGGGATTCTGGAGTCATGGGTCCGTGCCAGCAGGAGTGCCTTTCCGTGTAATTCCCTGCCTTCTCACCCATGTATTCATACTCTTAACTCTAACTAATGTCTTCCAATTAGCTAGGCTAATATCCCTTTGTTTCACTGGGACTTTGGGAACCAGGCTGCACAAGTTCTTCCATGGCTATGGAAGGTTTCAGTCAACTGGGATTGTGATAATTACAGTTCTTGGAAGGGAGGATTGCTTATCTGTTTTTTTCACCATCTTGGAAGGTTGCCTGTCACCATCTTCTCTCCCCCACACTGATGTAGGCTGCTTTTTACCACCAGTTTAAAAATGCAATAAGGGCATATTGATTGTAGAGCAGCTGCACCTGGTGTATTTGATTAAATCAGTCGCTGCTGATGTTCTCAAACTAAAATAATGATATCAAGGTTTAGTTAAATTGAGGCCTTCCTATGTGCTGCCTCCTGCCAGACCTCTCCTAGTCATAGCCGTAGTAGGTAGGATCAGAAGGGACCTGAGCAGATCATCAAGTCCAACCCCCTGCCATGGCAGGACAGAGTACTGGGGTCAAACAACCCTGGCTAGGTGTTCATCCAGCTTCCTCTTAAAGACCCCCAGGATAGAAGCAAGCACCGCTTCCCTTGGAAGTTGGTTCCAGATCCTAGCCGCCCTGACAGTGAAGTAGCGCCTCCTGATGTCTAGTCTGAACCTACTCTCCGTCAGCTTGTGACCGTTATTTCTAGTCACTCCTGGAAGTGCTCGGGGGAACAGGGACTCCCCCAATACCTGCTGGTCCCCTCTGACTAGTTTGTAAATGGCCACCAGATCGCCCCTCAGCCTTCTCTTGTGGAGGCTGAACAGGTTCAGGTCCCATGGCCTCTCCTCGTAGGGCCTGCCCTGCTGCCCCCTGATCATGTGGGTGCTCTCCTCTGGACCCTCTCCATGCTGTCCACATCCCTCTTGAAGTGCGGCGCCCAGAACTGGACGCAGTACTCCAACTGCGGCCTGACCAGTGTCACGTAGAGGGGGAGGATCACCTCCTTGGACCTGCTCGAGATGCATCTGTGGATGCACGACAAGGTACGGTTGGCTTTCCTGACCGTGTCCCCACACTGTTGGCCCATGTTCATTTTGGCATCAGTAATGATTCCCAGATTCTTTTCTGCCTCTGCACCGACGAGAAGGGAGTTTCCCAGCCTGTAGGTCTGCTGCTGGGTCTTCCTCCCCAGGTGCAGCACCTTGCACTTGTCAGTGTTGAAACCCATCCTGTTCTTATCTGCCCACCCCTGTAACCTGTCCAGGTCCGATTGCAGCCTATTTCTCCCTTCTAGTGTGCCCACATCCCCCCACATCTTGGTGTCATCAGCAAATTTGAACAGGGTGCTTTTTACCCCCTTGACCAAGTCACTGATGGAGATGTTGAACAGCGCGGGTCCGAGGACCGAGCCCTGGGGGACCCCACTGCCCACATCCCTCCAGGTCGAATAAGACCCCTCCACCACCACTCTCTGGGTGCGGCTCTTCAGCCAATCTAATCTCCTTTTTAATCTAAACTTGCAGATTTTCCTGGTTGCTTAACCAGGCAGGTTGCTCAGTTGAAACAGCCAGCCAGCGTGGCATCAGTAACACCTACAGGATTCTCACTGCTGTTCCTGGAAGTTTTAAAGCTGCCTCAGGCCTGCTGTTTTGCTGGACTTCTGCAGCTTTATCCAACCTATTAAAAATGGCCAAGGCTAGCAGCATGTTCTTGTGCCATTCCCTACCGTTTCTGTCACATACACAACGAATGTCTCCTAACAAAGAATGGGCTCCTATGCCCAGACCAGGATAACGATGACTATTTACGTTGAAGGCAGTTTGAAGGCTAATGGTGGCTGCACGTTGGTGCAACTGTCCTTCAAGCATTGGTGCAATCCATGATAGGGGTGTGGGATCTCTCGCAGACTCTGAGCAGCACAGACCATTGATCAGTTTGCCACAGCAGATCCCCTCTTCTCAAGAGAGCTACAGCTTTGCAGCTCAGGAAGGAAATCCCTGGCAGGATCTTAGGAGCCTCTGTGGACTGAGAGATGGTTCAGTGAACAGTGCAGTGGACTGGGACTCGGGGGAGCTAAATTTTGTTCCTAATTGCTGTTAACCGCCTGGGTGACCTTGGACATTTCATCATGCTCACCAGTTCTTTCACTCGTGCCTTGCTGCTAAACCTGATGAGGGCTGTATTAGTACCTAGACAGAGAATTGCTCAACACTCGCTAGCAGCACGGTGCCTGACTGTAGCTAGTGCTTTGCAGTTATGGAAGCGTATAAAGTCATCTTGCTTAATGAGCACGTCCCTCTGGAAAGATAGCTCTCACTTTGTTATGTGCAAATTGCAGGTAACTGTAGAATCAGAGAAAATGAAGGTTGGGAGGTACCTCGCGGGGGTACATCTAGTCCAACCCCCTGCTCAAAGCAGGACCATTCCCAACTAAATCATCCCAACTACCCGGGTCTTCAGAACCTCCAAGGATGGAGACTCCACCACCTCTCTGGGTAACCTGTTCCAGTACTTCACCACCCTCCTCTTGAGAGAGCTTTCCCTAATATCCAACCTAAATTTCCCTTGATGCAACTTGAGCCCATTGCTCCTTGTCCTGCCATCTGCCTCCACTGAGAACAGCTCAGCTCCGTCCTCTTTGCAACCCCCTGCAGGGAGTTGAAGGCTGCTGTCAAATCCCCCCACCAATCTTCTCTTCTGCAAACTGAATCAGCCCAGTTCCCTCAGCCTCTCCTCACCAGTCCTGTCCCCCAGCCATTTTCATTGCCCTCCACTGGACTCTCCAATGTGTCCACATCCTTTCTGTAGTGGGGGGGCCAGAACTGGATACAGGACTCCAGATGTGGCCTCACCAGTGCTGAATAGAGGGAAAGAATCACCTCCCTCAGTCTTCTGGCAGTGCTCCTACCAATGCAGCCCAGGATGCCGGTAGCCTTCTTGGCACCAAGGGCACACTGCTGGCTCCTGTTCAGCTCCTTGTCCCCTGTCCCCCCAGGTCCTTTTCTGCAGAGCTGCCGCTTAGCTAGTCAGCCCCAGCCTGCACTGGTGCAGAGGATTGCTCCCTCCTCAGTGCAGGACTTTGCACTTGTCCTTATTGAACCTCATGAGATTTCTTTTGGGCCAGTCAGCCAATTTTCAATAGGTAATTCTCCTACTGGTTACGTGGAAGAATTGTCTTTGTTCCTAACTCTGGGAATTCCCTCTCCTTTGGCTTGGTTTGGGAAAGCATGCAATTCCTCAGAATCCTCAAGAATCCCTCTCTCTCTCTCTGTCTGTCTGTCTGTCTCTGTCTCTCCGTGCCTTCAGGCTCAGGATGGACAGCCGTGTTCGAGCCAGTGAATTCAAAGCCCCCAGCACCTTGTGTGGCCATGGATGTTGGATCGAGCGTGTGGGATTCAGCAGCACCAGAGACTACCACTCCTGAGGAGAAAGGATGGGCAAAGTTTACAGACTTTCAACCTTTTTGTTGGTAAATGAAGCATAGACAGCACCTTTTCTAGAGCTTCTGCATGAAGAAATGCTTGGACTGGGGGTGGGGTGGAGGGATGAAACAGCAAGGGAGGAGTCTGACCTCGAATCATCCCTTTTTTTCCCCCCTTTTTAATATTGTCCGTCTGCATTTGGGCACTCGTCCCACCTTATGCTTATCTTGACTGATATGTGGTGGCCATGTCTCCTGCTAGAGCAGTGGTTTTCAACCTGTGGTCCGAAGCCTATGTCTAAGGGGTCCATGAAAGATATGATCCATCAAAAATATGTAAATACCCATGTTTACAATTCAAAGGCATCCATGCCTCTGCTTGAAATTTTTTAGGGGTTCACAGATGAAAATAGTTTGAAAACCACTGTGCTAGAGTGATAGTACAGCATTGTCACTATTGCAGGGCTGTCACCCTAATATAAATAATGAGTCTGTAGATATTCCTGGGAGACCGTGCAGGGACTCTTAATGACTTCTGAGAGGGAGCTCTAGGGAGCAGGACCATGGCAGAGGGAGTTCATTTGCAAGTTCTTTTGTCTTCCAGCTCAGAATCAGGTCCACGATGTAGTTCTCCTGTGGACACAGAAAGCAGCGACTCAGAGGGAAACCCCAAGCAAAGTCAGGACAAGACCTGTAAGTGGGGGTATTATGAAATGTGGAGGGATTGGTTTGTTGTTCTAATCATTTCGAGTGCTGCCAGGTATCCCAGGTTTCTCGGGTAAAGTTCCCTCCAGTCCTGCCTCACATAGGTGTCAAAACAGATCTGTCAAGTAGCTTGACTGTGACTGAATTCAAGAGTCCTGTTAAATGGTGCTTCTGGCTGGGGTTCATTTCTCAGGGTGCTTGCGCTCCTCTGCGCTGTTTGATTTTTTGAGGGAGCTCAGAAGTAACAGTCAGGCAGTTGAAAGAGAAGTGATCCTGATAGATTTCTGGCAGGCAAAAGCCAGGAAGTACCAGAAATCTGGTGAGAGTTTTCTGCTTTTTTGTGTGCTTCACCCATCGCTAGTTGAAAAATGTGGTTCTCTGGTTAATATAGAGCAGTAGTGTCAAACTCGGATGTGCTGGCAGGCTGTATCCCCTGCCAGCAGCCAGCATCTGGTCCTGATGGGCCAGCTCCAGATCTGGGCTGCAGTGCCTCTCAAATCCAGTCCATGGGCCATATATTTGACACCGTGGATATAGAGAAACCTCTTTGACTTGTAGGTGCTCTGCTCTCACTGGGTGCATCTACACGTTGCGTTTACTGCAGAACTGCCTAATTAGCTGTGCAGTAAAACGTCACCATCTACATGTGTGGTGCTATTAGGACAGCCTAAACTAATTAACTCAGGTGCAGGATGGTACTTGTAAATACACGAGGGTAGTTCAGTGCGGGGGCTCCCTGCCAGCTAGCCCCACGCTGAAGCACCCTTGTGCCCCAGCCAGCCCCTCCACAGCACGTTGAGCTGGGTCAGAGCAGCCTTGGGCTGGCAGGCTGACTCCCCTTGCTCCCAGCCAGCCAGGGCTGCTCCGACCTTGCTCAACATGCTACGGTCCCAGGCACGCGCATAAGCACAGCATCTGGGAGCAATAAACTCCTGTGCAATATGTTTTGGAGTTTATAACTTCACCTTAATGGCACGTGTCGATGTGCCCAATGATAGCTAACCAAATCCTCAAAATGTTAATAAACCCCATCGTTTCAATTTGCATTTTTGCCCAGTCTTAGATCAGAGCGGAATTTGAGGAATTGGTAGCACAGAAAAGCATTGAAATTTGTCTCTAAAATTGTGTCACAGGCAGCAGATGGTGAATATTAACTGTACTTATAAAAGCTGGGGTGGGCTCCCAATGTAGCTTATTTCCAGCCCACACTTTTTTCTGGCCCTGCAGTAGCACAGTCTTTAATTACCTAGTGCAGATGACAGATTTCTTCTTGAAGCGTGTGTCAGCGCGGATTCACTGTAGGTGTTTATGTGCATGAGCTTTGGATTCTTTTTTTAATCACAGTGTTTGTATCTGTGCATTTGTCCTTGGTCACCTTGTGCTCCCATGTGAGGGGATAAAGGGTGGATGGAGTGTCTGATGCTCCCTCAGTGCCCTCTACCTGCCTGTGTTAGCAAGTGGTAACTCAGCAAATGGGCAACCCGTTGCTTTCTTCAGTGACCCTAGGCCAGTTCATTTAGCCCACTAAGTATTGCATTTTTACACTTTTCGTGTAAAGGACGTTCCAAAAACTACAACATAAAGAAGGAGAATTCACATCCCTACTGTAACGTGGGTCTGGGTAGATTGCACCAGTGTCATGGTGAAGTCAAAACTGTGCCCATTCTGTTATGGGCACAGCAAGTGTTGCTTCTGCCTAGGAAAGGCCCATGTCCTGGGTAAGTTCTCTGTTCCCAAGACCGCCTCCATTAAGATGCTCATGTCCAGGGACACATGACTTGAGCCTCCATCTTTTTGTGTAGTCCATGTGGGCTTCCTAGTGGCCGTCACCTCAGGCACACGAGTGAGCGAACTTCAGCACGTTACCGATGGCCGCCTTCCCGAATTGTCATGCGACGGGGGCAAGCTGATGCTGTGTACCCCCTTCCAAGTTCATTGTGATAATTTTATCCCAGTTGATCAGCATCTTCCCAGAGCCACACTCTGCATAGAGGGAAAAGGAATTAAAGGCATCTGATGTATCCCGGCCCTTGTATGGTCTTGTCTACATAATACATCAGACAGTGTCCCTGTCTGTTCTTAGTCAGCTCCTCTAAAGGTCAGGCCATCTCTTCATGGAGAGTAATGAAAGGGATGACACCGCATGTCTTCCTGTGTCACTAGTTGTCTGATGGAGCTCTCCAAATGAGCCAGCCATGCTCCAGCAGTGTCCTAGGACTCCTTCAGAGAGAGACCAGTCTTTGAGGTCAGTAAGCTGGTGACATGGAGTAGTCCACTGCCTCTTGCCAAGCATTATGCCCTGGGCTCATCTGCTAGATGAGATGCTAAATTTGGGAGAGCAGTGCTACAATCGGCTTTGATGTTGCCGAAGTCCCTTATGCACATATTTCCAAGATGCTGCTGCTTGCTAGTCACCTGCAGCAGGATCCACTTTGCCTATTTGAACATAAAAAGTTACTTACTCTCCAGGAACTGTGGTTCTCTGAGATGGTGTAGATCCCGTGACCTGTGTGGATGCCTGTCTGAGTTCCCACTTGCCTGGCTTTTGAATGCTCAGGGAAGTGAAGCGAGGCAGTGGCCGTTCTGTTCTTTGGGCCCACACATGTGAGCATGAGGCGGCACAAGCCAGGGGTGGTCCCAACAGATACTGCTCTTTAAAAAAAAATCCAGTCGTGCCCGTGTGAAGCTCATGCTTGCCTACTGTGAGGTCCAAACTCACGTCATCCTCTTGAAAAGCGCAGTTAGTGAAAGGTAAGTCGCCTTCTGGTTTCTGTTGCTGAAAATGTTCTGGTTGTACCTGGGGGCTGTAGAAGTCTTCCCGGTGCCTCTGCTCGGTTTGTCCTGGGAATGATTTGCTTTCTCTTTGCAGTTAGCGCTGCGTCGCCCTGTGTTTGGAACGTCTGTGTGACAAGGAAGGCGCCTCTCGTGGCCTCGGACAGCAGCTCCTCTGGAGGCTCTGACAGCGAGGAAGACGAGGACAAGACCGACATCGTTACCGAAACCATCAGCACGGGGTCAGGCCAGGAAACCATCAAACTGACCATGGATGCTAAGAATGAGAAAGCTGTGTTCACCAGGTGCGAAAGGAATCGCCTTGGGGTGGGGTAGGCCTGGCCACTGAGGTTTTGTGGAGCATAATGTGAGCCTAGAGATGGACCGTGCTGTAATCCAAAATGTAAATCTCAAACACGGCAACTTGTTAAAAGGTAAAAATGTAAATTTGTGAGAACTTCACGGCAGTACAGGTTAATGGACCAGCTTTTCCTTTTTGGAGGTGGGGGTTCAAATTTGGAAAGGGGTTCTCAGGGCTTCGTGGTGCAGAGCAATGCATCGCCTGCTCTCAGATAGAAGCCACCACCCAGCTGGCAGCTTCTGAGAGGAGGTCTAGCACTGGAGGTGCAGTGAGGGGGCAATCCAAGCCAGATCCATCAGCAGAGACATGCGAGGCCTTGTGTGGTGACGAGTAGCAGAGAGCATGACAGACTGAGATGGCAGTGCATCCCACAGGATGGTGAGGGGGAAGGGACCTGACTCAAGTCATAAGCAAAATATGCATTGGTTAAACTGCCAGTGGTTTTCAACCTTTTTCATTTGCGGACCCCTAAAAATTTTTGAATGGAGGGATGGACTCATTCGGAAATGTCAAATGGAGATGCAGACCCCTTTGAATTGTAAGTATGGGTATTCACATACTTTTGATTGGCCATAGTCATCTTTTGTGAACCCCTTAGACACGGGCTGCAGACTCCCAAGGGTCTGCAGACCGCAGGTTGAAACCCACTGAACTGTGTGACACACAAGAGCCAGAATCCAGTATTTATAAGATCATAAGTTCGTGGTAACTTTTTAGGCAAAACGCTTCAAAAGAGTCTTAGAAGTGCTGGAAGAGACTAAAAATGGGACATGAGTGGTTTTGAAAATGTTATCCCTAGCATTTTCTCTCTTCTCCTTGAACTGTGAGTGCATTAAATCTTTTATGTATTCCAACTATGGTGGTGTTTTCACTGAAAGGTCCCTTGGGCTAAAGGCTGCATTTCACACAGCCATAGTTCAACCAGAGAAATGAAGTATTCTGGCTCTTAAGAAGCTGGTGTCTAAAACACCATGAACTTTGAACTTGTAATAACTAATTCTGGGTTTTGTGCTTTCTCCCATTGTTTTCAGAAATGGCTTTGGTTTCAAAGTCATATAAACACTTTAGGAAATTTTACATAAAAACTATTCCTCATGTATTCCCATGCAGATGTGGGCTATAATCTGGAGTCGTGGGGGAAGTGTACTAGAAAGTGAACCAGGTTCACCCAACATATGACTTACTGTAATGAGTAAGTCTGAGGTATAATCAAACCAGTAGATACCTGAGAGTATGAAAAGCTGGCTCATTATATCTCGTGCTGCTGCTGAAGTTATGCGACTGTAAAGGAAAATTATTGGAGAAAATAAAAGACTGTCAGATTTTGGTCATTTGAACGTGAGCAAACCTGAGTTTTTTGCAATTGGAAAATGTGTTATGTCTGTGTCAGCACAGGCCGCGCCTCATGCTGCATGCTTCACATACAAATCACCCCGGCAGCATTTCTTTGCTTGCGGGGATTTGCTTTGGGTGGCTTGCTTAAAAATATGGGGACAAGTCTCTAGGCTGAGAGATGGCATGGCCAAGCAGGCTCACCTGTGAGAAACCAGGATAGAAGGAAACGTGATCGTCGGTGTAATGTTGCTGATTGTGGAGTTAAGGTATTAACTCTTTTCATAGTGCAGCAGGCTCTGTATTGAATTTCCACCGATCCTCGCGTTATAAAGTGAAAACCCGTGGAACGACGGGAGGTGACGTGCATCTTGCACATGTGTTATTCAGTTCTGAACTGCCAAGATCTGTGGCCAGGGCTGTTCCATCCATTGAACTGTCTGCCTTGGTTCACGGTGGTGCTGTCCATCCTGTTTGGCACTGTAACTTTCTATTCACTTCCCAGCCAATAGAGAGAGGCAGATTCTCACTTTGGCTAGTTAAACAGATTGCGGGCCGTGACTCTGCCAAGTATGCGCACTGCAATTGGAAATGGATATTTGAAAGAAATAAGTCACTTAGGAGCTTAGTAAAGTCAAGTCAAAGCATCCACAGCCTGTTTTGCTTTGAATGATTTGTAACTGCTACGCTCACCCTGCTTTTGCAATGAAACCAAATACTCCTAGAACCATAATCTCCACCTGAAAAAACATGAACAGTTTCCAAAGTTCACAGCCTCAGTCAGAAATTAAAACAAATAGTTGCTGGGAGCAGGCAGAAGCCTTTAATTTAGATGACGGTAACAGCTGTGGTTAGCTGCCACAGATCTGTCCAGCAGTTTTAACTCGGGGCGTATGTCCTGCAGTGTGAAATACCTGGTTGGCCAGTTATGAGAATTGAGGTTGCCTGGTATTCCTCACAGCTGATCTCGATTTCATTTTACTCACCCATAACAAATGAATCCAATCTGAAACACTCAATTGTGGGCGCATCAGTTTTAACCCTGTTCCTGGATGACTCCACGTAAACCAATGGCAGCACTCGATAAAAACATCTGGGGTTTCCTGATGAAAAATTCCCTGAATTCAAAGTGCTGATTTCTCTACAGCTCGGTGCTGTCCAAGCTTTAGACATTTGATTCAGCCAGGATTTGAACTCAGTTCTTTCTTTGGCTTTGACAAGTCACCCACGGTAAAATCTGCACGTTGAGGGGTCTGAGTTAGTCTCTGAAATCAGTATGTACCAATCTCATACAGAACATGCTGGTTTTTCAGAGGTGCTGGCGTGGCTTATTTCCACTCTTTGCAAGAATGGCTGCCAACAAATCTGAGAAATCAGGCCTTTAATTTAAGTACTTTAAATGCTTGGTGGTAAAATTTTGGTATGAGCATCTTCTCCTTAATTTACCCATTCATGAAATGCAAATATTTAATTCTCCACTTACTGAGGGAATAATGAATTAATGTGTCACGTGCTAAAGAATAATTAGTAAGTAGTATTTAAAAACGTGTTTGCCATCATAATGTTACATTAAAAGAAAATTCAGTAATTTATCCTCAATTTACTAAAGTAATGCCAGGCTGCATCAGAGATTTTGAAGACTAGGAAGTTTTTCTAGATCACCACAGGGTTATTTTGGTTTAAATAGCAGTTCTTTCCCAGATGCAACCAATAAAGTTTGCCATTGCTAATCTCTTCCAAAGGAGATGGAAAACATTGAGCAATGGCTGACAGCAGTTAAAGAACCGGGACTGGTCTGCAATGGGAGTTCTTAGAGAAAATGTGCATAGCACGTCACTATAATAAGGATGATTAAGGAAGCATTAAACACTAATAAAGGCAATGGATCCAGTATTTATATGTAGGGATTTAGGTCACCTCCTGAGAATTTTTCATCCCTTCACTGTATTGCTGCATTGTATTGTTTTTTCCCTCGTAGGACTCCCGGCTGGAATAGCAGCCCTGATCTGTTTAATGAGCAGAGTGTGTGACTCACCAGCTCTTATCCATATGGAATTTGAATCTGCCTTGCACTGTTAGAGAGGCACCAGATGAGTATTTTTAAAGCTGCTGAATTTCCAGTTTCCTCTGGGAAACCTGTGCATCAGAAGGATGACTTGCACTTGAGGCAGATTAATTCCTCTTTCTATATTTTGTCCTGCAGTAATGATACCAAACCTTCATTTAAACTTACCTTTTAAAAAGCTCCAGTGCTTGGACCTTGTATGCCTTATTTCAAATTTTAAATATTTAAGCACTGAAGTTGAGACTTATATTGGCAGTGGTGATAAATGTAGGTAACTCGTGTTTCAGTTGTCAGCCCTCTATTTACTGCAGCTTTCTATATAATAATTCCTATTTAGTTCTAACTACTGGCCAGGTTGCCACAGAACTGAAGCCTGTTGTAGCTCTTTAGCCTCCTTTTCAGCTGATGACAGTGTCATCAATCTACAGTTAGAAGTAGAAAGACCCTGCTGTTAGGAAGGGTTAAAACTCACCAATAATCCCCTCCCTCTTCCCTCCCCCCGCAGACATAATCCTTATATCAAGGGATAGTTGAGATAGATATATCTATATCGAGATATATAATGATGTCCTTAAGTTTCCTGCCACGTAACTTTTCCAAATTTTGGGAACCTCTTTAAATTAGGATCTTGCTTCTTACACGTGCCCCACCAAATACCGGTTGTACTGGGTACCGTTTATTCTGCAAATCCACAGGTTGGAGCCCTCTTGCTGATGATCTGCATCTAGCCATATGCTTCCTAAGTTCTGGTATGGCCCAGATGCACCTGGGTTAACTTTCTTTCCCTGCATTGTACAGCACAACTTTATATGTGACCGTTCTGCTGTAGGTGCATGCTACTCTAAGCAGCAGCTTTAAGTCACGCACAAGTAATAGGATGTTTCAGATAAGCTAGCCAGATGGTTTACCCTGGAAGATCTATGGCAGAGATCCTGAACTTTTTCTTATTATGTACCCCCTTCCAAATTTACTAGCTGCCCATGTACCCCTACCACCATGCATTTTTTATTTGAACCTCTTAAATGCCAATTATTAGAATTAAAATTAAATCCACCATTACACAATTTCTCCTGTGTACCCCCCAGAGATGTCTTGTGTACCAGTTTGGGGAACCCTGATCTATGGCAGACATCACATGGTAAATTTGCTGGGGGAGAAGAAAAGTGCGGGTGTACCTTGCAGGTGATGACTAGTTTCCTGTTACTGCTGTACTTTGTCAATGATTTGGTAACCTAGACTCTGTGTGCAAGTTTCAGCTTCGAGCAGGATGTTCATAGGATGTGCTGATTCGGTTACTTGTGTGTCCATTGGATTTAATTTTATGTGAAGGACTCGGTTCACAGTATTCAATTACTGTATGCCTAGAAGAAACCTTGTTAAACATTCCTTGTCATTTCTGCAGGAGGGGAAGCCGTCTGAGGATAGCAGTGTAAAGTAGTTTCTTTTGTCTGTTTTTGCTGCGATCTTTACTGTTTTCTTTTTCTTTCTTCTTTGCTTTCTCTCTGTCTCTGCCTTTCTTGCTGCCTTTCTCTCTTGCTGCGGGTATTGCTCAGAATATTTAGACCTGCAGTCAGAGGGTATGTATAATGGCGACATTTTCAGGGTTCCAAACATCCACCTGACAAGTAACCTCTAATTAAACATTTGATGCCGGGTTGGGGTTAGGGTTGCTGTACTGCTGGGCTGGCAAATGATGCTGGAAAGCCCATTTTTTCACTGTCATTAAAAATGTGCCCAAAAGTAACACTTTGAAAAACCTGATTTGAGCTTATAGGCAGTCCTGGGTGAAAGATGCAGGCAGAGGCAGTACGCTGGTAAAGGAACCATTTAAAAATTAACACAGCATTTGAATAACTCCATACATCTCATCCAGTCCTTGAGCTTCTGCCATTTCACCTGTTCATGAGCTCTTTCTGCAAATAGGAATGCCTCTTAAGGGTATAGAGGAAGGGCCAGTTATTTAGGCTGACTACAGTAAAACCTTGTTAATTGTGTTTTCCTCACGTGCTCGATACACCCGCAGAACAGTTCTCTTCTATAAAAATGGGGGATAGTGCTGTTGTGAGGTCTCCTAATTTGAGACTTTGCTGTAGTGACATTACTGAACGTTGACTAGCATGGTACAAAGTGGAATCGGTAGTAGAACTAAATAAGAGCTATATCTTTTCAAATCAGAGTCATTTTTTACTGTTAGCGTTGCATTTTTAATTGCATTGTACTCGTTGCTGTCTAAAATTCATCAATTCAAACAGCGTCTCCCCATCATGTTGTGCAAAATTAGCAAGGCTCTACTGTAATTTCCTTATTAGCCCAGAGATGAAAGGAAAACACCGGTGTAATAAATGACAGCATAATTATGTTTCATCATAAAGAAGGTACATCACTAAAAAGTTTACTGTCAAAGCCATAAAAGATAGCTAAGTCTTGCAGAGGAAGCCGCTGTTCTGACCTACTGTCATGAGTGAGACAGGAAGTGCAGCTCAGCCTTTACATGCGCCTGAAAGGCAGGAGGCTTTCCAAGCTATTGCAAGGTGAGTGGTATTTAAAAGTATATTTTGGCCCACTGAAGTGCTTGCTTTTAACCCTGTGCTATTAAATGCCATGTTACACATCTTGAAGGTGTCCTGTGTTTCTCAAGCAGTCAAAAACTGAGCTGCAGTTCTTTAGCCTCATGACATAGCAGTGTGAGTCAGGCTTCCTGCTGGGAGGCGCCAGTCAGATAGAAGCCCTTGTTCAGGGAGTTTCTAGCAGAATTGAGCTGGTAGCAACAAGTCGAGTGGTCTCTAACGTGTGTTGAAAGCAAACACCTCCCTAGTGTAAGATCTTTAAACAGTTTTTGTGAATGTATTGTTCAGGGTGTAGGGTTAAGTATGCGATCCAGCAAAGTGCAACGTGTGAAGATATCTTCAGCAGTGTTAATTCAGCCCTGTCTCTCATCCAGGGTTGTGGTACGTGGCTAACGACATAAACAAGCATATGATTTACCTATAATAAGGAAAGCAGGGAAAGTAAATACTACCTGTTTGCAGTATGATAGTTAATCTTTCTGGGAAATGATTTCTGCATTTCCATGTTGTGTGTGCTTAATTTTTTAATTTTTACCATCTTACATTAGTAGAAGCTTTCGCATTTTATTTCCTCGCTTTTCAAAGGATATAGAAAGTGTTTCACTGCTGAGCCATTGTTAAATGTCATACTTAAGCAGCTCCTTTGAAGCTGGGGCATACTAAAAAATTGCAAGCATTTTGCTGTGTATGCTCATGTACAGGTTTAAAAAGTACTACCAACTTTTAAAATTTCTCTCCACGCTGGGCTGATTTTTTTTTTTGTCGTCTTTTTTCTTTGGTGACTAAAACTTTGTCATGTTTATCATCTATACCGTTACCTGGCTTTAAATTAGGTACTAATGTCTTTTCTATACGCTCCATTTTCTGAAAAACAATCGAAATCCCTTTCAACTCAAACTTCTGGCATATCCAAAAACCAGACCAAAAAACAAAACGCACCCTGACCTGAGACCAATCACAAAAATTTCAACCTCAAAGAAAGTCTTAATGAGCAGCAATGGAAACGAATTTAGAACAAAAGATGGAATTCAGTGGGTGCATCTACACATACATTAACACGCTTTAGTTAATGTGCGTTAAATCTAGTACCTCTGGTCACTTTTACACATGCTCCAGAGGTGGAGGGGGAGCGCTTTAATTAGAGCATCTCAGAGAGCTGTTCTAATTAAAGCTCTGCCATATCTCGTGTATCAGCATCCCTGCACTTAAAAATGGCGGCAGGGGTGCTTGAAATAAAGCTTATTTGACAAGATTTAGTTCAAACACCCCCGCCACCATTTTTAAGCACGGGAACACTGATAACAAGAAATGTGGTGGCCCTTTAATAGCATGGTAATTGCACTCCAGCCTCGTGTATAGGCACCCTCCATTGTGAGGTACTAGAAAAGTCTTAATGTACATTAGCTAAAAAGACAGTTTTTAAGTGACACTTAATGCGCATTAGCCTATTTTAATGCACATTAGCTAAATAGCACAGTTTTTAGTGACACTTTAAGGCGCATTAAAATAAGCTAATGCGCATTAAAGCACATGTGTAGATGTGCCCAGTGTGAACTATAGTGCTTCTTACCAGTGGAAACCATTTCATTTCTTTAACTGTATATCGCAGGTCTCATTTTGTAAAGCCTCTTGTAAAGGCTGCTAACTTCTGTGCTTTGGATCCACTGAGTGGAGCACCTGTACAACCGCTTTGGAAGTTCCTACTTTTGCTTCCAATAATAGTTAAGATTGAGGATGAAACTGTTTAGCTTATATCCCTGCCAGCAGCAGTGAAAACCTGCCAATTCCTTCTGCCGAAATAGCTCTTGAAATAGTAGCTGGCAATGGTTGTTTCCATTGCTTTGGGCATGAACTCCGAGGTGAGAGCTGGCATTCTCTCCGCTGCATGAGGGCTCCGGAAAAGGAGCGTGGCAATGATGGCATTTGTAAATACAACAGAGCTGTTGCTTTTCATTCTTCCGTGATTGAGCAAGGGATTTTGGTGGAGCATCTGCTGACATGCAGCAGAGAGAACGGCCCTCCAGTTTCCCAGACTGAATGGAGTTATATTGTCACCGTGGATGTTTTGAGCTCTCCCGTTTTGGGATACATTTTTCTTTTCCGTGCCTGCTGGACTGTTCATCCTGCATGACCTGTTGATTTCTTATTTGTTTATGGGAAGCATGAAAAAGAAGCCCACGAGGCGGCTGTCTTGCTCGTATCTCGTTCCGCCACTAACTCGAAGGGTTGCTGAAATGCGTTCAGTGGATTTTTCCAAAACGATGCATGCTGTGGAAAATCGGGCATGCGCCATGTCTCCAGCACTTTTATTGAAATGTTAAATATCCATTTCCTTGATCTGACTTGTGCTTGTTTAATGACAAGGTGACCAAACTGATGGTCACGGCTTTCGCTGTCAGAATTGAAAACGTTTGTCAAAGATGGACGTTGAGCTCAATAATTGTCATAGATACGATCTTTTACGCTGGGCCTCTACGACTTAAAATGGCATATTTGCTTCTGGAACCGCTCAGTGAAGCCCTACCGTGTTATGTGAGCTCCTGTAATTACTGGCCAGCGGATGGTTTCGACAGCCTGTTGACAAGTGTGTCATTAGCATGGCTGCCATTGCACTTCCTTTGTTCACAAAATTCAGCTTGCAAGGGCTCGTTTCTGGGCTTCGCATGGAGCACGTCATGTTTAGGTGTGCTGTTTATACGAGTCTTGTGTATCCATTTGTAGTGTCACCATCCTTCCTAGTATGTTCTTGCAATATTTTGATGTCTATGATACTTACTGATTGTTTACCAAAGAGAGACTAGCGGGAGCCACGATAGTAAGCTTCGGAGGTGGGTAGAATTGGACTCTAAGGTTATTTTATTCAGTGTTACCTTGACTAATACTAAAGACCTTTGTATCGTTGACCACTTCAACCTGACTTCTTTCCAGATGATTTGACAATGAGAGTCGTTTCAGTGTTGTGCTCATCGTCGTGAAAACCCACCATTAGGTGATGTGGTCTGTGGGTCCCCCCCGTTCCAGCGGTATGAATCAGATTCCATCTGGCACGTCGAAATTCCCACTCGAGTCATGGGGACCGTCGTTGTGCCAGCCTGCGGGCTAGCGAGAGGCTGTTTGAATGCAGCAGCATTGCTGGTGCTGGCAAAGCTTAAGTTTGTCGCTGTAAGGAGCTTCCCTAGTAAAGCTGGGCGGGAGGGAGGAGTAGAAACGAGAGACTCGACAGAATTAAAAGACATTAGAGGACAGGGGAGGAAAGGCAACATGAAAAATAAAAAGATAAAAATATGAACCTTTCCTTGCACAGAAGCATCCCAGTGAAGCTGACAGGCAGATAGAGCCTCCGTTCTTTAATATTCCTCCATCGTTCCTGTCAAGCCAGGCCTCTCTTGGTCTGCTGTCGGGTACCAAGTAAACCAATACAGCCTGTTCCATGGTTGAGTTGTCGGTGACTAAGCCAACATCCCCACCTGGGCTAAACTGGGTGAGGCCGGTGTGTGGACACCCAGCAGGACTAAACACAAGACCTGTCAAAGGGTGGATGAGCTCCCTGTGAGCCAACGGCCGTCCATACCTGGAGAGGAGAAGGGCACCACCAGGTTGCTTTGCCCGAAGAATCACCGATGATGCACAGCATCTAAGGTGCCCCAGCTGTCACGGTGGCCTTGGAGCTGACTTGACTTGACTTGACTTGATTCTTCAGTAGCTGGACAGCTTGACACTATTTAACTACCGACCATTTTTCCTATAGGATGCTTTTGAGACCTACAGTAACCCCAAAGGGCGAACGTATCAGTTCACTCCTCAGGAGGAAATTATACTTTCAGGGAAGTAGTTCTGCTGTTGGAGGGAGGGAGATTAGCCTTGGCGATAACTCTGAAGTAGGGCAAAGGGAGCTAAGCTTCTAGGTCCGGACAGACGGTATTACCAAAGAAGGCTCATTGCAAATAATTCTGTGGGGTGCATATGACTCCTTAGGGATTGCACGTGCACTAAGAGGTGAGAGCTCGGTGCTAAGCTTGGACGATAGTGCATCTTTCTCCGAGAAACAAGTTGGCAACACTTGAAATTCTTTGCTAGAGAGGTGAATTACCAGTTATTCAGACAGACTGCTGACAGGCAAATGTCTGAGACGAATTACTAGGCAAGCAAAGGAGGAAGCTACCTGGTGGCAGCTGCCTGACTGTTGTCGTACTGGGAGAATACTTGTTTTTTTCCCCAGTGGCAATCAAGAGCCAGTGTGTGTTTTCTTAATAGTCTCATAGAAGAGAACTGATGCTTGCTCTTTGAAAAGGGTATAAGCTTTCTTGAAACCAGGATAAACCCCAAATTATGGGCTTTCTGGTGTACTTTTGGGATTTCATAGAATCACAGACAATGAGGGCTGGATGGGAGCTCAGGAGGTCACATCTCCAACCCCTGCTCAAAGCAGGACCAGCCCCAACTACATCATCCCGGCCAAGGCTTTGTCTACCGGGGTCTTGAAAACCTCCAAGGATGGAGACTCCACCACCTCTCTGGGGAGCCTGGTCGTGTGCTTTACTACCCTCCTAGTGAGAGAATTTATTCTAATATCCAACCTCAACTTCCCTTGCTGAACTTGAGCCCATTGCTCCTTGTCCTGTCATCTGCCCCCACTGAGACCAGCCCAGCTCCATCCTCTTTGCAGCCCTCCTGCAGGGAGGTGAAGGCTGCTATTCAATCCCCTCTCAGTCTAGATTTTCACTGATGGCTTGGATTTGGGGCTAATTCCAAACACAGATATGGCCTATCATTTTTTTTTTAATCCCTTCATCTTTTTAGATATCTAAAATAGGAATTTCAATTCTGCTAGAGTTTTTCCATCTCCACAGTAAAGTCAATGCTACCTATCCCCAGGGGTTAAGGCTTCATTGACAGTGGTCAGAGTGCCCCAAGACCCCTTCATCTTCATTTCTTTCCTTTTTTCTCCCCATTGGTCGGGTATTCCTATAGATGAGGCACATTCAGCCAACCTTGAAATCTTGATGTTGCTCCACTGTCTGTAACATCCAGCGGCTGACCTCTGTAGCTTTGTGTCCATCCAGGAACAACCTGCCATTGGGAGGAGACTTCAGGTTCCTCTGGTCCAAACTAGTAAGTGCGGATGTGTGCTTGTTGCTTTGATGGGGGCTGGTCTTGATCCAGCAGGTCTTTTCCAGCCCTGTGTTGACAGGCACGGAGAGTCCATGTACACAGCTTCTAAATGTAAGTCACTTAGTCATGATCCGTAATATTTGGAGAGAGTAGTCCTGAGTGCAAAGGACCTTCAGGGACCTTCAGAAAACGGTCCAAATGGACAATCTGGCTATAATGTTTTACATCAATAAAAAGCCCAAAGGAAACGGACCCTGCTTCCCTGCGCTGGAAAGATACTCTTGATGGCCACTTACCCACTGGGGAAGGAAGACCATCGTAGGCCAGCTGGAGCCTGGCGATAGATGACTCACGCAAGCGGGCTTGGACCAGGAGAAAGACCTTGGGATCTGTCTTGAGTGGGAAATGTCTGAGCTGTAGCTAGTGCCAGTAACAACAAACTGGAAGGCTACGCTGCACAGACTCGGTTGTGAAGCGGTGCCATTTGGGTCCATTGCTCAGAGATCTCTTCCTCAGTCTCTCTCCAGCCATCCTCAGGAGAGGAAAAAATGTTGTATTACTGTTTAATATAGTCACGGCAGCTCAAACGTTTTGTAGTGATTCCCTGGCTCCTGTAATTAGAGAGCTATCAGGATTTCCAGGCACCAGAAGGCTGCGCGGATAAGCTGTGCTCCATTCTGACTGCTTCGCTTCCCTTCTTCACCTCTCAGTCCAGGTTTTCAGTCTCCTCCCTTGGAGCTTTTGGCATCTGTTTTGTCCCTCCACGAGCCTGTTGTAGGCAGAGCAATTTCTGTGCAGCCCTTAATAGTCAGGACCATGAAGAGCTTGATGCATTTAACTCCTTTCCTGTGTAAGGAGCCCACGGAGATAAGGATAGGCTTAGTGTGGTCCTAAGAATTTCTGAAGCCATTTGTGTCTTGTGAGTTGAGCAGACTTTTTAGTGGCAGTCTCTCCAGCTCTTACCATAAGCTTCATAGCAATATAACAAATACATTTTAAAAATATAAGATCTGCACTGCTGTCATATCTTTCTCAATCTAGTCTGTCTACAAAGCACCGTGACTTAGCCTTTCTGAAGGCAGAAGTCTAGCCCTGCTCACAGACCTGCCCTTTCCCAAATCCTTATAGCAAGAAGTGCATTAACTTTATTTTAGGCTCTCTCCGAAGACAAGCAAGAGGGGCTGAAAACAGCGCTCGCTCATTGTAAAACATGCAAAATGCAGAATTTTATTGAAGTGTCTTCTTTCTCCACTTGGAAGTGCTGTTTTTGCTTCAGTATTAACGTCCAAGACACATTGACCTTGCCTGCAGCTTCACTGTTTGCAGGTTTTGTGGTGTCTGCTCTATTTTGTTTTATAGCCACATCTTTGGAACCGCGTATTTCCAGGCGGGGGGCTCTGCTGTGCTATGCATCTTTAAGGACACTTGACTGTGACTAAAGGTCACTGTTAATCTCTGGTCATCAATCGCAAGCGATCACCAGTTCTCCATCATCTTCCACGCAGTTGTAGAGTTTGTTTAATTCAAACTTTACGTGCAAACGGCAGGTACTTAATTTGGAAGGAAACCATAGGTCAGAGCTATCGGGGTCCCTGTTATTGAGCGAGAATAATGATCTGCTGGAATCAACAGCTTGAGTTGTGGGTTTGGGGACAGCCAGCCTTGGCTGGGTGCAGTATTACTGCCCCAAGAAGCAGATAATCTGCAGCCACTGTTCTGGGTAAGTAATTTTCTTTTATCCAGCAGCAAACTCAATTGGTGAGCCCTCTTCCCTTGGAAGCGACTTGTTTGAATGCCCCCCATTTCCTGGGTCCTGCCTTGCCAACCTGCCAGGTCAATAATAACAGTGGTTGTTCTCCATTCTCCAGCTCAGGACACCCTGCGGTAGAGTTTTTATATCTAGAGGAGCGTTAATCCATTTCCCTTGCAGGCAACAAAGACGCGCAGCAGTCTCACGGGCTTGCTTCTGCTGCAGAGAAAGGAAGCACCCTTCTTGAGAGTTGTTGGGTTTTGCGTGTTTTCAGTGTCCAGCTGATTTTTGGGAAACGTAGCCCCTGGATGCATCTGATGCTTGTAATTCCAGCTAGATTTTGCAGCTTGTTTGAATTTGTCCAGTAAATAACTCCACTTTGTGGAAGCGTGACCTCTGCACTACAAGTAGCAGAGAATCTCTTGTCCTCCCTTGGAACTGAACACCTCTTCGTGGCCAGTTTAACTTGAACTTGAGTTCTCCTCACACAGTGATGCAGACTGCATGGTGATCGACAAGCTGACCATCACTGATATGGCAACGACAAAGGTCTCCAAACCACTGAACAGCACGGCCCAGCATTCGGAGGAGCACCAGAACGCTGCAGCTGTTGGTACGGTTGCTACAGAAGCCACAGCAAAAGACAGGTGAGCCGGTCACAGTAGACTTACTCTACCAAGCCACTGAATCAGGTAGCTTTAGCACTAGTGCTGGCATCAAACTATCCTGTTGGTTGCTCTGTCTCAAATGTCTTGTGGTCCCACTAAACTGAAGGCAGTGTAGCTGGTGATTGCAGCATCAAGCGCACATCCTTCAGGTTCTCACGGGTTTCATTACATCAGTGTCACTGTTAAGCATCTGGATATTTTTAATAGTTCCTGTGCATAGCGGGGGGGTAGGGGGGATTAAAATTATTGTTTAAAGTAAGTATATTACTTTAAATATCCTGGAGGGAAAGGAACTGTTCAACTTAAAAGGACAGTGTTGGCATAAGGACAAATAGGTCTAGACTGGCCATGAGTAAATGAGGCTGGAAATGGATAGTTTCCCAAGTACCAAAGCAGTGGGGGCCTGAAAGTCTCCCAGTAGAAGTACTGAGGCACAAAACACGACCGCTGCTAAGATGGAGCTCTGCAAGTGTCTGAAGGGGATGATGTGCTGTAGATGTGTGCGGTAGCAGGGAGCCGGTCTGGATGACTTGCTGTCAGGACAGCAAAGCAGTGGACTAGAGGAAGTTGTGCCTAGGGAAGTCGTGGCACCTCCTTCGCTGGAGGTGTTCAGGAAGAGGCCGGGCGGGAGTAGCGGTGTCTGTCTTCTGCTGTGAGTATTTGCCAGGCTTTGGGGCTTTGCTGCCCACCATGTGGGACCTGGAAGGAATTTTTCCCCCCTCCTGCTGCTACATGTGCCAGGGGTCTTCTTTCACCTTCCTCAAAGGCGGCGGGTGTTGGCTGCAGCAAAGGCTGGGGATTACTGGGCCATGTCCGTGCTCCTGCTGGGACTGAAACCTGGAGGATCTTGGCTGGAGGGTCTTGCCCCTGCTGAGGGTTGCCGCATTTGGGGTCAGGAAGGGATTTTACCCCTGGTCAGATTGGTATGGACTTGTGGGGTGGGGTTTGCCTTTCTCTAGCATGGGCACGGCCTCAGCTTGGGATCTCCTGCACGTATTTTAGCAGCCTTTGCAGCAGCTGGACATTGGCTCCCGTGGTCCCCTGCTTCACCTGTGGCAGGTTTGGGTGTGATGTCTGGTGCCGTGTCAGGATGGACCGTGTAGTTTTGCTAATAGGTTACATAATGTATTTGTTTGGGAGGGCTTGGACAGGGCTGATCCTGCCCCAGGCGGGCAGTTGGACGCGCTGACCTCTGGAGGTCCCTTCCAGCCCCACTTCTCTCTCTAGGACTTCGTGATCGCAGGCTCACCCTGCACCAGCAGCATGGCGCAGTGGGGCGCGATGCTCGATCCCAACAGTCGCGCTTTCTGCCACACACGCGTGCAAGGCAGGACGCAGGATTGTTGCGATTGCACTTCAGATCCCAGAACACCTTGGATTGAACATCTGTCAGGGGTCCTAGAGGCCTGAGAAGCATGACTTTTGAGGAAAGGCTGAAAGAACTAGGACTGTTTAGTTTGGAGAGGGGAAGACTGAGGGGGGGATTTGTTAGCAGTCTTCAAATACTTGGAGGGCGATTTGGAGAGAGGATGGAGGTAGGCTGTTCTCTGCAGCTGCTGGGGACAGGACTAGGAGCAATGGCCTCAGGCTCTGGCAGCAGAGAAAACTGAGGTTGGAGATGAGGAGGGACTTTCTTACTTTGAGGGTGGTCGAGCACTGGAACAGGCACCCAGAGACCTGGTGGCATCTCCTTCCCTAGACATTTTCAAGAGCAGGTTGGACAGACACCTGGTTCAGTCAGGGATGATCCTGCCTGGAGAAGGGGGTTGGACTAGGTTCCCCCGTGAGGTCTCTCCCAGCCCTACGTCCTTATGATCCTGCTGCTTCTGCAAAGCTCTGACGGAGGGTGCGGAGAAGCCGTGCTCGTATCCAGCTGGCTTTGATTTCTTTCGTCCTTGCCCAGCTGAGTACAGACCTGCCTATGGAACAAGGACTACACTGGTTGCAGTGGCCAGTGATTTTCCTCCTTATACTGGGTGGTGACCAGGTGTGCAGGTGATTTTTGGGAGATCTTTCAGCTGCCTGTGGTATTATGGATCAAGCAGCATTGCTTGTGCCTAGCGGGGAGCTGTCTCTTGTTCTTTGCCTTCCGTCTCCGCTGTAAGACCACAACGGATGGTAGCGGATGGAAAACTCTCAGGTATGAGATGCTGCCAGGTGCCGTTTTGTCCCCCTTCTGTTCCACCTGCCGGTGGGGCTGTCAGTATGGAGGGATGGGGGGTGCTGCATTTGCAGCCGTCTCCTCGGACTCAGGTGATGTAGTTCAGCCCCTCGGCCGCCATCGAGTTGAGACTGGCAAAGTTGAGAGCAAGCTGGTTGAGTCTTAACCAAGATCGCAGTGCGGCGTGCTGGTGGGGTAAGCAGAAACCATCAGAAGAGACCTCTGAGGGGGTATATCTGCCATTAGTTACTGGTGCTCACAAATTAGGGCTGATTTTTCGATCCCAGCGGGTGTCATTACAGCGGTGACCCAGTCAGCTCGCTTCCATCTGTGCCTGGTAAAGAGCACGTGGCCTGTCCTTTCAGGATCGGACCGGCTGTCTGTGCATTGTCACCCTGGGATTTACCCCACTGCCACGTGCTTTTTGAGGGACTGCGCCCTCAGACCCGTTGGAGACGGCGGCTGGGGTCAAAGCACGGTGATTGCCTTCTGGCGTGCCGCCTGGCGTCCTGCTGGAAACATGGGGTGCCAGAGTCCTGAGATCTGCGTTGGCCATCCTCTGCCTGCTTTCTGAGCAGCGTGAGGTGTTGGTTGGGGTTTCTCAAGCCCTGAGTGGCCAGGGAGCAGTCTACCGTGCCATCCTGCAGACGCTGGCAGCAGTGGTGCCCGCGCCGGGTCTCCCCCCTGAGAGGAGAGCAGGTCGGCAGGCGTTCTGCGGGAGAGCTTTTCCTTTCACCTGAAAGAGCCCAGTTGTAGGAGCTTTCTGAGCAGCAGAAACAGGAGCCCCAAGGGGAGAGGCTGGGTAGGAATATGGCTGCAAAGCCAAGCTCCTGATCTTGTGCTGCTAATTTAATTGCCTGCGCTCTGGGATGAGTTCTGTAACGGTTTGCGTACCACGCTGGGGAAGGGGTGTTAGCAGGGAAATCCCTGCCCTTCTGCTCCCCCACTGTGTTAGCTTCCTCTTCCTTTCCTAAACTGATTTTTTTTAATTAAACTTGGATTTGGAGTCGACTGCTGCTACTGCCGGGGGAGCTCCTAGTCAGGTCTGGGGGCCTCTCGCACTCTGGGCCGTATAAATATACCCTAAGACCATCCCTGCCCCCAAAAGCTGGCAAGCTTAGGCAGAGCAGGCAGGCAGATTGTTGAGGTACGTGCGCTTCGGTTGCATTTTGCTTTGAGATCCGTGTCCCTTCCCCCAGTGATCATTTCCTCCTCCTTCCAAGATCTTTCTCTGCCCATGCATGCCTGCCGAAATGCCCTTGTTTCACACTGCCTGTCCCACAGAAGTGCTACGCCTGGTGTTTTGTCTGATTGGTACGTTCAAAGCAAAGCCAGTTCTGCTAAGGAAGTAGAGCGGCAAGCGAAGTTTCAGCTACCCAGCATGTTTCAGAGGAGGGGTGCGAGTGAAGCTGGGAGCCCGGGGCACGCTGTTCTGAATCCTGGCTTGATGTCTGTTCTGTTGTGGGATTTGGGCAAATGACTTGGAAGGTACTCGGCATGAGTACTTTCAAAGAGGAGCTTTCTGAGCAGCCTCCAAAGAGGACGGAGCTGGGCTGTTCTCAGTGGGGGCAGATGACAGAAGGAGCAATGGGCTCAAGCTGCAGCAAGGGAGTTTAGGTTGGCTATTAGGAAACACTTTCTCATGAGGAGGGTGGTGAAGCACTGGAACAGGCTCCCCACAGAGAGGTGGTGGAGTCTCCATCCTTGGAGGTTTTTAAGGCCTCACTTGAGAAAGCCCTGGCTGGGATGATGTTAGTTGGGGCTGGTCCTGCTTGGAGCAGGGGGATGGACTCGACGTCACCTCCTGAGGTCCCTGCCAGCCCTCGCTGTCTGTGATTCTGTGACTTCTTTGCTACAACTTCTCCTTTTGGAAGATGGGAGGAATGTACTTACCTTCCTGCTGGACAGGTTCCCTGAGGGGGTGCGGAAGGGGTAAGTGGCTGTGGTCACAGCTATTAGAAGGAGCAGGCACTGGTAGAATGGGGTACACACTACAGGAAAAAGGAACTTTCCAAGGATTAAAGTAAGCTTGAAGCTGAGCGGGTGACACAGCTGTTGCATTGCTCTGATGTTGCTCTTTGTTTTTCCCGTAGGAAGGAAGAGGTCTTACCGTGTGCCGAAGCCACATTAAATGGCCCCGCTTGATGAATCGAATGCAATGGGACATGTGTGATCCAGGCCAGGCTGCTACCTGGTGATGCAATTTGTCAGTTTTTTTCATTTTAATTTTATTTTTTAATAAATGCTGCATTGATGAGAGAGCTGGCATTCAGGACCAGACGCGATTCCAACACCAACAACCTGTTCTGAAAGACACTTGCATTGTCTAAATGTAGCATGGATCAGTTAGTCATCAGAGTGACTGGGTCCTACCCAAGCAAGCCTTCCGCCTGGTTTCAGTTCCTTGTCCCCCTTCCTCTTCTCCCCTGGTTTTTTTGTTTTCTCTCTGGGGTTCAGTCCTGTTTCCTTAGTGTTATTGCACACAGTATTCAGCTTCTCTTCAGAAAGGTAGCAGGTCTAACGCTGGGGCTTGGACAGTGCACAAAAAGTCCTGCAGTCGTCTGACCAAAGTTCCTGATGGAGCTGCCTCGGGCAGCATTTGCACCGCTTTTGTATAGCAATAAAGCCTTATCAGAAACATTTCATAGGAGGAAAAGATACAAACACTTTAAACGGGATGTGGCAGGGAGGGATATTTTTTTTCTGTGGGGTGGGAGGGAAGACATCAACATGGTCCCAAGCCAGAGGCCAGATAGCGAAGTTAGCGTAACACTGAACCGTCTTGAGACACGGGAGATCTCTGCGTTCCAGTGAATGGCACCGTGCTCTGTTCTCTGGCGACATGACAGTTCACTGCAGGATCTTGGACCATTTTAGCAGCTGGTCACTTCCGTCCGAGCCATCCAAACTCAACCCTCTGGATGTCGTCCTACATTGGGCTGGGAAGCGTGCGAAGGAGGCAGCGTGTCATGCTCGTCGACTGAGAGGACAGCGACCCACGGGACGGCTGCCATGCAGGGACAGGAGCAGACGTGGCCCGACCAGGTGATGAGGTGCTTGCTGGCTTTTTGGAGACTAATGTATTTTCAGATTCATATGGAGATCTTTTTTGGTTTTCTGTTCTGTTTTTAAAAGTTTTTAATGGATGCAGGAACAGCAACACTTTTGCACTTTGTACCTAGCGACAGCATTGGAGAGGGAAGCGGCCCCATCACGGGACTCTTGCTGTTACTCCCCATGTAGTTGAGTCGCGGAGAGGGCTGGGGGTCACGCTGCTCCCAGGCTATCGGGTAGAGCAGGATGGGGGACAGGACTACACCTCAAACGACCTGGGAGCAAGGTCAGTTAGGATGGGTGTTTGACCCTGGAACAGAGGATCCTCTGCATAAGCATGCAGGACCTTCTCCAGCATAAAGACTGTACCAGTGTCTGCCCCAGGTCCGCACTGATGTCGAGCCCAGTGTGCTGGCCTCAGCCACAAGCTTGTTCCCAGACTGGACTTGTGCACATAGATCATACGGGTGTAGAAGCTGGGCCACTTCAGCTCCAGGCTCGTGCCGGTAACAGCAGACTGCCATAAACAGTGCTCGCTCTATACCCCCGTAGGCTTTACTGCTCGTGTGTGTAAGCTGTGTGCTGAGACCCACCTGTCCTCTCTTCGATGCCACTTATTTTCCCAATCCGAGGTCTAAGCTGGAAAATCGTTTACTTTGGAATAAAAGCATAAAGCTTGGCACGCAGGTAACTAGACGGCTTATTTTCAGAGATACTCTCATCCATGCAGTCTGAGGGACTCTGCCTTGTGAGTATGAGAGAGTGCCTTGCACCGGCCTCCCATCGTGAGCAAAAGCACGCCTGCCATAGTCGGGCTTGCTTTTCAGAGTGCTCTGGTTTGGCCTCTCCGTGATACTGCGTATGCCATGTTCTGTATGAAAGGTGGAGATGGAGAGGCTTCCCCCAGCCCAGCAGGGTAGACTGTCCTATTATCAGTATTTGGCAGCAAAGTGCCTCAACGGGAAGCCTGAAATTTATTGTCATTTTTGGTGTGGGGCAGCCTGAGGATTGCCTTCGAGCATCACTGATACAGTCAGCTGCGATTCCCTGGCCAGGAAAACCCTTTGTGGCACAGCTAGTGGTTCTTAGAGATCTCTCTCTCTCTCTCTCTCTCCCCCTTTACACAATTATAAATGAATAATTAAGAGTTAAATTGTGCCAAAAGAGAAGTTCACCCGTGGTGAAGGTCAGTCCCCTTGATTGCCGAAGACCAGTCCCGTTCCTTGGAAGTGATTGCTTAATGTGGGTACCTCTGTTTCCGGGTGCTCAAGTGAAGACGTCTTAAGAGTCTGATTCTGCAGGGGACTGATGTGTATTAGCTTCTAAAATCAGGCCCCTTTTAGGCATCTCGTATTGCATTCCTAAAATTGTTTTATGACTTTAACCACTTAAATGCAAAAACCTTACCAAATGCAGTACAAGTGCAGCTGATCCCAGCAATTCACTGAAACCTTGACTGAGTTTCAAAGTCCCATGAAGTACTAAGCGAGTCCAAAAGCGCCTTCCCAGTCTTCTCCATTTAGCCCCCCAAAAGCGACATTTCTGTGCTGCAGGTCACTAACGAAGCACACCGTGGTTAGGATCACTCAGACGGGTGTCAGGGGAGTACCTGCAGCAGACCCAGTCTGAGACGTCTCGTAGCTTGGTGCCTTTTCAGCTGCTGGAGTACACAGCGAGATGCATGAAGTTATGCAGCACGTTACCAATTAATTGTGTTTATTCATTAGCATTTGGATCCGAGTCCATCATGAATTGAGAGCTTGCAAAAAGGATTTAAAATACAGACAATAAATAGCTTTGCCCCATCCAGAAGGTATAAGGAGTGAGACCCCAGCCCCACGGCATGGTATGGCTTATTTTAAGGGCTCTTGATCTGGAAATAGTGAACTTGGTCACTCGTGCCTCGCTTCCTCGAAGGCTAGACATCCTGTACGTGCTTGGACATGTAGAAATGCACAAGATTTCTTGCTTTTCTAATGGCGAATGATTCCTTTATATTCTGGGGCTTTGAGTTCAGAGTTATGTCTCGCTGGCCCTATTCGTCATCTGCCAACAGACTGAGCTGGGAGGTATCTGACACGTGTGTTCACCCTTGATAGCCCATCGGGTCACGCTACCCTTGCCTGTCCTTACACACGCACAACTCTCTCTTGTCCGTAAATTGAACTCCCTTCCTCTCGAGAGTCACAGTATGGGAAGGTGAAGGGTTCCTTGGTCTCCAGCTCGTGACGTGCAGTTTTTCTTTTGGTCCTTATTGCTATCTGAGCTTTTTTCCTAGCCTGTTGAGGCTACTGCCTAGAGAGCCCTTCTCGTGTGCCCGTCTGGGCATTTGGCTGCTGTACTGCATTCACACGACCTTTCCTGGTTGTATAAGTGTTCAGTCACTTGATCAGCAGTTGAATTCATCCTTTCTGCGAGCTGTGCCCTGCCTCGTGTCATCTCAGAGTTACAATTTACAGAGTTCACTCATTTGCAGCGGCACGTGGGAAATACCGTTGGTGTTCTTCATCACAGGCGTGCGATATCTCCTGGTCCTCTGTAGGCAAGCACTGTTTTTGGAAGGAAGTGTTGCACAGGGTGGGAGCAAGGCATACTCTACCAAAAGTAGATATATTTATACCCAGCTGTATCCTTCAAAAATCATCATAGACTTGGGTGAGATACCTGGCCAGACAGCAGTGAAGACTAGGTGAAAATTGTGCGGGCCGGGAGCAATCCGGGCCCTTTTTGTGCTCTGCGCGGGCTGTGGCCAGCAGCCCGGGCACGCTGGGTCGGAGAGAACAGGCGACACGCTAGAATTAGTCACGGACGCGTAATGGTTGATTCAAGATTGTTTACTTACACCGAAGATGGTCGAGGTGTAGGCTGGACAGTTTCCCAGGCACAGCTCCGCTTAAATCCTCATTTGAGGACTCAGACAATATTCGGATCGCTCCCACGGAGTTGTCAAGGCTCCGTGGATCCTTTTGCGCGGGGAGAGGGGTACGTCGAGGATTGCGAACGGCGACGGGGAGAGGCTAGAGGCTGGTCAGACCCCTGTTGCCTGCTTGAAATGCACTGGGTCCGATAGGCTCCGCAGCGCTTAGAGATCTTCACACAGCGTGAAGTCTCCTCCTCCTGGTGTTCGTGGAGTCCTCCCTTGCGGGGGTTCTCCTCGGAGTTCTCCAACTTCTCCAACTTGGGCAGAAACCACCCAAGCCTTTTATACGGCTAGCAAGCCAATCACTAGCCGCCACGTGTGAATAATTTCACGAAAGCCAATAATGGGGCTCGAATTAGAGTACAAATGGTGGGAACTCTTTGCACCGTGCATCTCTGTGCTGCAAAGAAGAAATGCACACTGCAAAGAAAGCGACAATTTGGCGGGAAAATAATTCATTGGTGCCAAAGCGCACACACAAACAAAAATCACACCCTTGGGTTGTGACAAAAATGAGCTTCAGCTCTCTCCTTCCCTTTCAGTATTCAGTAGTTAGGAAAACTGCCCATATCTATGCGGTATGTATAATTCGTTTAGTCTCGACGCTATACTGCTGTGTGTGTGTGTGTGTGTGTGTGTGTGTGTGTGTGTGTAGAGATATATATTTGCGGTCTCTGTTATGCCACGTATATTTATACACACACATAAAGGGATGCTAGTGTATGAAACCAGGTGAAGTGTAGCCTTGCAGTGCAATGAACCCGATTACTGTATGTGTGTATGTGCCAGTACACGTTCGACAGCACAGCCACGTTCATTGGGAGAGATCGAAGCTGGCAGAGTATAGCTTGGTGTGAAATAATCTCTCATACCGCGTCTTCCAGCAGAGTGATTTGAACCCAGCAGGGCACTGAAAATGGATTATAATTTTCAGGGTGTATTGACTATGCAAGGGCTGATCAGCATTGTTGCTCTCGACGTCCCTTGCTGTGAAATGCTCCTCCTGCCGGCGTGCTTTCATATTGGAAGCCGGGGACTTGGTCGCACTCTTGGTTGTGAAACCTGTTCGGTTCAGCTGGCATTTGCCAGTTAGTGGATTTTAACAACAACTCTCCTTAAAGCTGGTCGGATTGAAAAACATCCTTTCTTCCCTTCGGCGGTCTTTGTACTGGGAGCCACCTGGGCTGTGGTGTCAGCTGATCATTTCAAGCATCCGTGACCGCTCTGTTCAAGACCAGGGTCTGACATTGGCAGAGAAATGAATGTGGAAGGGAGAACTATGGGGGGGGGTTACTGTCAGATAATCCCGCGGTAGAGAGGTGCGGGGCAGATCTGGATGGGTGGGAATGTGTAACCTCGCAGTACCTGCCTTGCCTTTTTCCAGAGCTCTTTATCCAAATTCTTTCAAGTTGCTCTGCAGAATTTGGGGAACAGATGCCAGAGAAAAGACAGAAAACGAATGCCGGTAGCAAGGGGACCTGCTTACAGCCCGAGAGACCAGGGTCCGTTTCTCAGGCGTGAGCTCCTGTGAAGAGGTACGGTCCGCTCTCAAATTATACAGCCATGATGGGGGGAGGCCAAATTGGAGTTGAATTGATCTAATTGGGGCTGGTCCTGCTTGGAGCGGGGGGTTGGACTAGATGTGACCTCCTGAGGTCCCTTCCCACCCTCATTTCCAAGTTCAGGTTTTAAATAAAATATCCCTTTGCAAAAACGCAATTAAGTGGGTTGTGATCAGTCTCACCTGTCTTCAAAAAATACTTTGCCCACCGTTTTCTTGGGCCACAAAAGTTCCCAAGGCAACAGCTATAAAATCCTATGCCCGCAGCTGGCAGACCCATCAGCAATACAGCTGAGTTTCTATCATCCCATTTTCACTGCTTAGTTATCACGCTGCAGCTGGAAGAGCAGCGCGAGGCAGACTCGGGGCAGAGACCAGCCTTTTAGTGTCCTCCGAAGATCATTTAGTTAGGAAAACTCAGACCTATCAACTTTGTCAGTGAAAGTGTTTGGGGTTGTGGGGTGCGGTGGTGGGGCATGAAGTTTGGAGGTAGGTGGGAATTTAAGGAAAGCAAGGAGCTGACAAGATTGCTTTCATTATCTGCTGGAATCACAGAAGTCCCAGCCAGCTGTGATTGAAACCCTCCCAAAGGTAGTCCTCAAATTGCCATGGGCAAGAGGCCAAGTGGCAGCTACCCCCAGGAGCTGGTCCCCGAAAGTCCCCTGCAGAACGGTCCAGATGCTCAGCCCGGTCTCCGAGCCAGAGCTCCCCGATCTCCCTTCTCCTTCAGGAGTTGCTGGAGCTGTACCTAAAAATAGGGTTTGGGGACGCTTGACGCTATGCCGGGCAGGGTGGGTTTTTCTGCCTCCCTTTGTGTCGTGCCTCCTTTCCTGCATCTCGCTGACGTGACGCCAGCCCCAACCCCAGCCCCAGCCCCGGGGAGATGTGAGCAGCCCCAGTCTCAGGTCATCTGAGCGGGGCAGCAATAGCTTTGCTCTGGTGTCTGCGGGGTGGGCTGCGGGCAGGGGAATGCCTGTGCTCTGGCGGCCGGGGTCACCTTGAAGACGGTGACGGGACAAGCAAAGAGATTTGATTTTTTTGCAGCGTTGTGTTGTTTCAGCTAGATTTCAGCTCTCTGTTCCAGCAGCTCTTGTCATTTTTAACCGCCGTGCTAAAAATAAGATTTTCTTCTCTTGCTCTTCCCACAGCAGCGGTCTCGCCCTGAACTACTGAGCTCTGCCCACGCTTCCAAACATCTGCTTTATTTTTTTTTGTAAAGCAAAATGAAACCTGCCATTTACAATGGTTTCTTTATTTTTATTTATTATTTTTTTGTTCACCCCAACATCAGCTCTCTGCGACTGCGCCTCTAGCACTTCATTCTCAGTCCGAAAGAGTCTGCTTCTCCGCTTACAAGCTCGCCAGCCCAGCACGATTCACCTCTGTCCTTTCCCCGGCGCCGGCCCAGACAGAAAACCTTTTGGATGGATCTTGCGACACCGACATTCTGACTTAAGCGACCTCTTCCTTTTCTCTTACCCGGTGCAGGAGGAGGGCTCGTCATGGGCAAAAGTAATGCCAAGGCGGCTGCGTAGCATCGCACGCGCTTGGTTGTTCGAGGGAACGGTGGTGAGCTGGCAGCGAAGGGGTGCTGCACAGTGCAGCTTGCTCCACTTGCGGGTGTTTGGACATCACTAGCTCATTCTTTTAATCGCCATTTCTGAACAATTGGCAGAGGGCTTTCTGTGACCCGGACATCTTTTTATTTGGTTTTTTCCTTAAGAAATATTCACAGCCTGCAGGAAATGGCTGAAGAATAGCAGAGGTGAACTCAGAGGTTTGAGAGAGAGAGAGAGAGTGTGTGTGTGTGTGTGCGCGTGTTTCTGCCCACGTGTACACATCGGTGCAATTCAGCGGTCCGCTACAAATGGGTTCAACTGGGTCAAATGACCAAAAAAAAGCGCGCCCGCAAAACAGCGAACAGCTGAAAAATGATCAGTTAGTGGCACTGTGCTATTTTCTTAAATATACTTCCGAGCCAACTGCATTAACAGCGTTGTCGGTGGCTTGTAGCCTCTCGGCGAGGGTTACTCTCTCTCGCCTTAAGGGCCGTGTCCTTCTGTGGTCCGTCTCCTTCGCACGGTGTCCCTCTTCGACATACAGAGGGATGCTTTGAATGAAGCCCTGCTGCTCAGACAAGCTGGCTGTGAGGGGTTGCCTCTCAACCCGCGCTTCGTGTAGGTCTCATTTTCCAAAGCACCCTAAGCACTTGGGCTCTCAAGTCCTACTGACTTGCAAAGAGGCTTCTGCTCCCAAATGCCCAAGTCATTTTCGAAAGCGAGACCAGTGCACCGCTCAGGTGTACAAATGCTGAGTGGGGCATCAGCCGACTACCTTTAAAACCCCGTGGTATTTTATTTTTTCCAAGCTCTGACCAGGAGCTTGTGGTTGTCTTCAGCTGCGGGTCTTGCTAGCTTGATGCGTGCCTTGGATTTAGACCCCAGGCTCTCTGCCGGGCTGTTAGTAGCTGGGGTCCCTGCTAGCTGAGAGCAGAAGTGCTCCACGATCCCAACGGGTAGTTTCCAGGCATCCTGTACGGTGTTTGGGGTGACTGATCCAGCCGAGGTGATTTGGGACCTGCCTGTCTGACCAGACCTTTCTCTCCCTCTGTGCCCTAAGACCGGCAGAGCCCAGGCTGGAGCAGACACACGGCTGCTGGCAGGCGGCTCTTCGAAGGCCTCTTGACGCTGCTGCGCTTGCATGTCCCTGGTCCAAAAGAGCCAGAGGCTGCTTGGCTTTGCAGCGCGTTGTGGAGGCCGTCTCCCTTCCACAGGCTTTTGGGGAGGGGGGAGGAAGGGGGTGGCTCGTGCATGAGAGAGACAGGTTATCAGATGGGTTAAATCGATTGCTTCGTGGATTGTTTTTCTTGTTTAGTCTGCAAGGACAGGAGCTCGTACCCGTGATAAATCCACGCGGTCGCGAGGTGTCGATTCCATCGTACAAAAAAAAAAATAAAAATCCTGCTATCAGTGAATTTCAGACTGAGAGAGTTACAGGGCTTCGGTGCCGAAGTACCAGGCACCGCAGGACGTGGCCCGTCGGTAGACAGGGCTTCGGCTGAGCTGAGGGAAGGGCACCGGGCTTGCGCCGTCTCCCCTTGACTTCCTAAGGACCCGTTCCAGATTTATCGCTGGACATTGTTGCCATGGGGAGAGTGCAAGTGATGCTCAGTGGGCGATGGCGCGTCTCAGCTGCAGCTTCGGGGAGAAAACCTCTTTTATGGAGTTTTGATTTTTTTTTTTAATCTAGTTTTTCGAAGGTCTGGTAATCCTAACTGGTACAAAGGGATTCCCCGCGTTGCCGGATTGGGAATAGGATCTGTTCACGCAGGACACCATTGCCATGTTTTAGGAAAGTGCCTCCTAAATGGGATCGTTTAGTGCAACCAAACAGGGACAAATTAACTCCGGGCACGTCGGCAGCTAATAAATAGCAACGCGACTTTCTTTACTAGAACTCAGAATCCTGTTTTTATCATTCGAGGTCCCTTGAATGCCGCAGTCGGGATTGGAGCGTCGGCTCCGATGGTGTGGACATTTTCATTGCCTAACGAGTGCTGTGTCGGCAGCAAGCCTGCTTTGCACCCACACGTTGCACATGCTTGTGTTTGCACGATCAGAGAGAAGGTTTTAACTGAAGCTATATTGGATGTGATTTACCCTTATTGGAAAAGTGAGGTCACCACGCTGCCCTGCTACCAGGCCCGAGCCCTTGGGCGCAGCACTTAGCGGCTGCTTTACAAACCACTCCTCCCTGTCCTAAGGACGCGGTGCAAGCCGGCGATTCTCGACCGGGGCTCCACACGATGTTGGCCCAATGAAGCCGTGAGCCGTTTCTAAAGACTCAAGCGGCCCTTTGCAGTCGTTCTCGGTAAACGCCCTTTACACTGAAGACGTGGGTGAAACTGGGGCTCCGCGTGTGGGGAATGGAGTGCGTTCCCCTCCGTGAAAGCACTGGGAGTCTTGCTGTGGCCGAGTACGGGGAGGTAGCCGAGGGCACTGTTCTTCCCTCGAAGGAATACCAGAAATCCTGCAGCGGTGCGCAGGCCGTGGCGATGACAAGAACATTGAAACTAGGGTTGTGTGTCACGTGCGTACTGTTAATTGCCACACTCGGCACGTGGGGCGAGTATCATCTGAGTGGAACAGCAGCCATCTTTTCATCAGGCTCTTCAAAACGATGACAAATGATTAAAAACTCTTGCCCAAGTATTTGATTTTAGCTGTTACCCATATTTACGTCTGTAATGGGATTATTTTATTGATCTTCTCCCCTTCTTCCCTCACTTGTCCCGTCTAAATGAGGTGGCTGTTGCAGAGCCCGGCTCTCCGCCAGCTTCGGTCACGCGTGTCTTCTTCTTCCAACTCCTCCTCTCTCACGTCCCCCTCCGTTGTATCTCTCCATCCCAAACTTTGGTTGTCGTCTTCCCCTTCTCCTGGTAGTGCCATTCTGGTAACTTTTTTTCCCACATATTCTTCCGGACTCCTTTGAACATGCCCATGCCGTGCCAGTCTCTCTTGTGCTTTCATAGATACCTCCACTACCTTCGCTGATCCCCTGAGGTTGTATTCCTCCCTTTACCCATCTTCGTCGCTCCATTGGAGCATTTTCATCTCAGCCTTCTTTCTTGGGTTGACTTAAAAACAACTTTAATTTGCAAGGAAATGATCATTTCCCCCATCAGCTGTGAATACTCATCTTCACCTTGCTGTCCAATCTTGTGAAAGACGAGGCCGCTTGCCCTTCAACTCATGTTTCCATTGTCTGGGATTTGCTTTCAGCCCCTGACCGCAGTGAGACACCGGATTGGAGACAGGTGGAGTGACTGAGCCGCGCCGTTTCGATTGGTACGAATTCAGTTTCCGTCTCTGAGCAGTCTCGGGCGCAAGGCCTGATTCTGCAGCCTGGTCTGTCTGTGGGTCTCTGCTCCTGGTGGAAATCCGGCATACTCCTCACGGGCCACGTCTACACGAGACACTTAATGCGCAGTAGCCTAATAACACTGTGCATTAGCACATCACAGCGTGGACAGTGCTAATACGCGATTGCGCAGTAGTGTCACTAAAAAGGCTTTTGCCGGCGCTAGAGCGCAGTAACTCTAGTTACCGCACATTTATTTAGTACTTCATTAAGCAAGTACTAAATTAAATGTGCAGTAACTACTGCGCATTAATGAACGTGTAGATGCACCCATGGGCGCACACGGTAGATGTCTTGGTAGGCCCGTGACTCGGGATTTGTGTAGACGCTGAGGCTTCCTAGTCAAATGTTTTAACAAACCTCAAGTAATGAGAGTCTTTAATTTATTTCAGCCCCGTGGTCGTGTGAGGTGGGAGGGGAGCATCTGGGACCTGCAGAGGTTTACCACGAGGGATTCCCTTCCCCGGTGCCACGCTACCCAAAGCATTTACCTTATTGCCATGTGTCTGATTAACCTGCAGGGACTTTTGCACGAAATAAGGGGTGTCAAAATCGCACGACCTGAGCTTGGCCTGGCCTGGCCTGGCGAGCCAAGACCATCAACAGCCCATTGCTGCCAACCGACCGTTGGAAATCGATAGCAGAAAATACCTTCCCTCGTCCCACCGCGTCTCCTGGGGCCGCTTCTTTAGGAGAGTCTCTGCCGATGTCTCACGAAAGCAGCCTGCCCTGGAGCTACACGCGAGAGGAGTGCTTTCAGCCTTCGGGGCTCGTCCCGACAAGGGGAGGATGCCAGAACTGAGGTTCGGGGTTTGTAGAAGCTCAAAACACAGTAGACTTCTTGTCCTTACGCTTGAACCGAAGTGATGTGCAGCGTGTCTGTCGTGACAATCTGTTGACGGTCTAGGCATCTAAACGGGATGTTTCCACTGGGCGTGCAGTCGGCTCCTAAACCTGGGCATCCAGAGCCAGACTAGGCAAGAGGTCTAGAAGCGCGACCGGTCCCTTCCCTTTTCCCTTCCTCGTTTGCAATTTGATTCCAAAGACTTGGCGGCGTGGGGGAAGCGGCGCGTGAAGCTTTGACCAGGAGCGGCAGTGCGGTGATGGGGTGGAGAGCGCTGTGCATCTTAGTTGTGCCGCGCGTGTGTTTTGGGGGATCTCTGGCAGATTTGTAAGTGGTGCATCCCCATAATTCACTTCTGAGAGCGTGAACTATGAGGTAACTTTACCCCTGGCTTTTTCCGCTCCAGTCGGATGAAGACGTAACCAGTCCAGGCTTGCGCACCTGACTGGAGCCGCGAGGCGCGTAGCATACCCAGGGGAGCGGACTTCACTTCAAAGAGAGCTGGGGGTTTGAAGAGAGAATTGCTTCTGCACGCAGCGGTGGTAGCGAGGGCCGTGCAGGCCTGGAGGAAAGAACAACAGTCCCGTTTTTGGTTTAGTTTTGGTGTTTCTTCAGTGTTTCGCTGTGTTTTCTAGGTTTGGCGAGCCGGCTAACTGTCCGGTCAAATATTGTCCACCAAACAATTCATCATTTTTGACTGGTCAAAGATTATAGCAATTTTATGGGGTGGGGGGGAAACCTACATTTTTTTTTACAGTTTGAAAGAAATGTTTTTTTTATTGTGTTGACACATTTTTTATGGAAAAGTTGTGCTTTTTCTGTGTGTTATTTGGTGATTTTTGACTAGTTAAATACTCAACCTTAGTGCTTTCACAGATCATCCCCCCACGTAGCCACCTCGTGGTAACAGCCATGCCGGGAGAGAGGAGGAGCAGAGCTGAGTCTGGGAGCTGGCGAGACCGGGCCGCACAATTGTGCGGGACAAGTCAGCAGGCCCTGGGGCGACCACTCCACGCTCGGGGCCGTGGCCGGCGCTCTGGGCATGAAGGGAAGGCTCCAGAAGGACCCCAGGTCGGGCTTAAGGGGCTCCTGGACTGGAAATGCCATTTGGGGTTTGGCGCAGTCCAGGTCAGAGCGGGCAGCGCGCCAGTTGCTGCTAACGTATGCGGGGATCATACGCGGCAATTTCTAAAAACGTGGTCCTAAATCTAATCTTTTTGGAAGTGCCCGGGCTGAGCGTCAGGCCTTGCCTGATCGGTGTTTTAATCATCGGTATGGAGAATCCCACGTAGGTACGAGGTCCACGGGCAAGGGGCATGAATGATTGGGAGCCCAGCAAGTCGCGTAGGGCCGGGAGTGCTGGGGGACTCGGGAGGCGATGCTGGCCCGACTTCGCTGTGGCACCAACACCTTCTGAGCCCTCTCTCGGCTAAATCCACGTGATGGACGTTGTCGGGTGAAAATGCACTTAAAAAAGACCAGCGTCTGTAGCAGTGCCGCCGACATCTTACATCTTCACTGCTTCTTACGTCTTCCAGTCTGGGAACGGGGCTGTTCTTGCGAGTCAGGGGACACGTCGGACCGTGGCCTCCCCTGGGCTGTGCCTGCTAATGGTTCCCCTTCGGGCCAGGGGCTTAATGGTTCAGAGAGACCTTCTTCTTCACGCTCGTTAGACCTTTGCCGGCCTCCTCCTTTAAAGCACTCGGGATAGCTGCACGTTTCCCACTTCACAGCAGACCGTCTCGCACACCGCTCGGTGCTTCTTGGTGGCATCCTTTACTTTTCCCCGCGACTCCCATCCCAGGATGAGCTTTGCGGGGCACGATGCCTTAACGGCTTGCGTGAGGGCTGTCTGTACCCGAGGGCCCGAAGTTCAAAACCACAAAGGCCAGGCCTCTCGTTTTCTTCACGGGAGCCGCGTGGGTGCACGCAGCGTACGGGAGCCGCAGCCTTGCCGGTGGGAGCGTGCGGCTGCGCGAGGCCGTCTAGGAAAGGCAGGGCAGGGCCCGTTTCGGTTCCAGTTTCCTGGCGAAGCTCTGCTGCGGGCACCCGGGGACATTGAGACTTGTCCTCTCCGTTCGTTGCTCGTGACGCTGGGCAGAGGGACCTAACCCATCAAAGCCCTGCCCAGGCCGCGGAGCCGTGCTAGACGCCCGCGGGGACGTTGCGGACGGTGCATCCGCGTCTACTTCAGAGCCGGATTTTCAGCTCGGCAAATGGGCCGAGGTTTTCCAAGCAGCTCCGAACCCGGCTGCGCTGAGCCTTTCGCCCGGGGTTCGGGCGCTCACATGGGGGGGCTTGTTCTGAAAGCCTGCCTCGGGCTTGTGGGACCTCCAGCCCCTGCGCGGTCCCGGGGGCTGGCGAGGGTCCCGCGGGGCCTGCAGTCGGGCTCGGACAGGGCTTCCAGGGAGCATCCCCGGGAGGCAGGAGGGAGGCCTGCCGGATGCAGCCGCGATAGCAATAAGACATGCTTGCCTGCGTGGAAGACGAGAGCGGGCCACGATCGGCACCGAGCGGCCTTTCGTCTGCCGGGGGGCGGCAGCAAAGGGCTGGCGAGTTCAGTGCAATGACACAGGGGAGCCTTCTCTCTGCCCTTAAATGTTGACCCTGGGTCTTTGTAAGCAATGTCTGTGTATTTATGTGTATATATGAGGTACAGAGTTTTAAACGTACTGCCTTTTCCCCCCTTTCCCCTCCCCTTATTTTTCTGAGTAATTCCAGATGTACTTGAGTCTCTCGACTGTCGAAACTTTTCTATTGTAAAACCAATGCTGGCGGGTTTGGGGTCATTTGGGTTGGTTTCTTTCTTTCTTTTTTTTTTTTTTTTTTGAAAAAAGGAAGGAAAAAAGAAAAAAAAAAAGAGAAAAGAGAAGTAAAACAAAAAAGGAGCCGGGAGCCCCCGCAGCCGCCTGCCCCTCTGTCGTCCTTCCAGGCTGTAAATTCCAACTATCAATAAAAACTCGAAATGCAGCTCCGCGGCCGTGGTTTCTCCAGCCGCAGGTCGGCTCCGCTGGGCCGTGGCTTGGGGCTCGACCTGGGTGTTGACCTGGGCCCTGCTCCGGGCGCTTGGGGCTCGGCCTGGGGGTGCAGCTCTCCGGTGCCCGCGGTTATCGCCCTGCCGCGGGGCAGCACAGACGGACGGGGACGAGGTGCTGTCGGCCTGCCCCGGTGCACCCCAGCCCAGCGGGGACGAGAGGCCTGGCGGGTGCAAGGGGGGCAGATGCTGCTCCAACGACACCCAGGGCAGGGAACGGGACAAGGGGCCGCGCAGGGAGGGGTGGCAGATGGGACCCCGCCGGGGCCAGCTGGCGGAGGGGACGAGCGAGAGAGTTGCTCCCCTGTAACGGGGGCGGCCGCAGAGCGAGACCCTGCAGTGGCAGCCGCGGGGGTTGGTCCGGCCTGGGGGCCCTGCGGGGAGGACAGGAGGCCGCTGGGGGCAGGAGCATCCTCCAGTCCCACGAGCTGGCAGGATGGGGCCCAGCTTCCTCTCCTCTCCACGGCCCTCTGCAACAGCTGGTGTCTCGATGCCGGCAGCCCCCGCCACGGTCACGTTCTGGCCCGTGGCGCCCGAAACGCCCGCTGTGTTTATTCTTGCTGCTCTGAGGCCGCGAGCCTCGGGCAGGAGGTCGGCCTGGAGCCGTGGGGCTGGCAGGGGGCTGTAGGTCACATCCAGTCCAAGCCTGGCCTGGGGCAGGATCAGCCCCGTCCAAAGCCCATGTCCAACCTCGGAGCCGCACGACACAGTTGCCCTGACAGCCCC